AGGGTCATTGTCCTGTTGGGAAAACAACTGATAGTCCCACTAAGCCCAAACCAGATGGGATGGCATATCACTGCAGAATGCTGTTGTAGCCATGCTGGTTAAGTGTGCCTTGAATTCTAAATAGATCACAGACAGTGTCACCAGCAAAGCACCCCCACACCATAACACCTCCTCCTCCATGCTTTACAGTGGGAGATACACATGCAGAGATCATTCGTTCACCCATACCGCGTCTCACAAAGACTCCAGACCAAAGGACAAATTTCCACCGGTCTAATGTCCATTGCTAGTGTTTATTGGCCCAAGCAAGTCTCTTCTTCTTATTGGTGTCCTTTAGTATTGCTTTCTTTGCAGCAATTTGACCATGAAGGCCTGATTGACAGTCTCCTCTGAACAGTTGATGTTGAGATGTGTCTGTTACTTGAACTCTGTGAACAATTTATTTGGGCTGCAATTTCTGAGGCTGGTAACTCTAATGAACTTATCCTCTGGCAGCAGAGGTAACTCTGGGTCTTCCATTCCTGTGGCGGTCCTCATGAGAGCCAGTTTCATCATAGCGCTTGATGTTTTTTTGCGACTGCACTTGAAGAAACTTTCAAAGTGCTTGACATTTTCCGTATTGACTGACCTTCATGTCTTAAAGTAATGATGGAATGTCATTTCTCTTTGCTTATTTGAGCTGTTCTTGCCATAATATGGACTTGGTCTTTTACCAAACAGGGCTATCTTCTGTACACCCCCCTTACCTTTTCGCAACACAACTGATTTGCTCAAACGCATTAAGAAGGAAATAAATTCCACAACTTAACTTTTAACAAGGCTCACCTGTTAATTGAAATGCATTCCAGGTGACGGCTACCTCATGAAGCTGGTTGAGAGAATGCCAAGAGTTTGCAAAGCTGTCAGCAAGGCAAAGGGTGGCTATTTGAAGAATCTAAAATATAAAATGTATTTTGATTTGTTTAAATTTTTTTGGTTATTACATGATTCCATATGTGTTATTTCATAGTTTTGATGTCTTCACTATTATTCTACAATGTAGAAAATAGTAAAAATAAAGAAAAACCCTTGAATGAGTAGGTGTTCTAAAACTTTTGACCGGTAGTGTACGTAAATACATTTTGAAAATGATAGCTACAGGAACTATGTGTGCAGGCTAACTCAAATGACCTAACATAATGTTCGCTAGCTTGCTAGCTAACTTTACATACTGTATAGCTAGCCAAGTTAATTAAATATCACTAGCTAGCTAACTTCATATTAGCTAGTTAGCTAGCTATCTTGATGTATTCATCACTGTAACTCGAAATGCATTTGTAGCTAGGTAGCTAGCGAACAGCCATGGAAGAGGGGGAAAGGATTAGCTAGCAGTTCCAGCTGTCAGAGAAGGGAGAGTAGGCTACTCTGGATAGAGCACTTACCTTTGTGGGAGGACAGTATGAAAATAATCTACAGTTCGTAATTGTAAAATGTAAAGGATCCAGTCCCTAGCGGAAAAAAATTAGGACAAAGCAATATATCAACATAATATTCAGTGCTGTCTAATTTGAGTAAAATGCAGCCTGTTTCTTTGTGATGTTTTCTGTCCTCAGATACAGAGAGCTGTGATACCCTGTCTGCAGATGAAGAGGTCCCAATGAATGTCCCAAGAGAATAGGGGTATGTCGTTGTATACCATGGATTAGAGGTCTTCATGGTTTCAACAGACCTGAAATTCTGAAGGAGACAAACCCGAGCATGTCCTGGTCCTAAATTCGGTCGGATATCATTTCCACGGGTCTGGGGTATGTGCAATTAAAATGTATTCACCGACTGGACCCGATTGGACCTGTCCTCTGTTAATTTAGTGTTTGTGTGATGAGAACTGCGCAAGCTTGTTATCAGCCTATTGCAACTCAATAAAACCTATAGCTTATATCCAGCTGAAACTGGTTCCGGCTGCTCACCTCACATGCGCCTGCTGCTGAGGAGAGAGAGCGCGCAAGTAAAAGGAGCCTTGGCCTAGGTTTGATGCAATTTTCTACCTTTCATGTATTTATTTTTGTATTTATTATCAATTGTTTAGTCATTATTACTATTGTAAATCATCATTATTATTATTATGATTCTTATTATTGTAGGCCTATTTAATAATCTAAACCAGTTCTTTTAAATAGCCTATGCAAAAAGTGTTTGGTTTCATTTTGTTGAGAAAGTTGAATTGGCTAAATTAAGTTCTGTCTTTAATTTTTTGTTCCGTATTTAGTTTAAGGTTAAAAGCAGGCCTGTTGTAAATAAATAGTTGGCTGACGAAAAGTACATGTGGACAGTTCTTCCAATATCTTCAATATGCGCCTCAGAATTGGATAAGGACGTGCACAGTTGCATCCCAGATGTGTCTGTCTTCACTTGCAGCCTCTGAGAAAGACCCGATCACATGACTGAGAGCCATGTGAGTGAGAGGTGCTTCAGCAGGCAGCCAGGATAAGGGAATTATAATTATTAAATTCAGCACAAGGGAGCAACATCCAATGGCCACAAAAGGCATGGATTTTTTTAGGGGGCATTACGGCCACACAAAGGGGATGCAGCTGGGAAATTTGAGCCATTATCAAGTGCTTGTCAAATTGTGAATGAGACTGATGAAGTGTGCACGCAATAAACAAAGCAGAGCTCATGCCTTTCATGCAACCTTTTTCAAATCATCATTAGAGTTGCATCATGCAGCCTTAGAATGAATTTATAATCTAAACATATAGCCAAACATTTATCACAACTAAAGTTACATAAATAACTCTAAATTAAGCAAATAGGAGTACCTGTTTCTTTGTTAACCGCTCAACACAGAATAGCCGCATTTGTGCACTCGCTCAAATAGTTTGGAGAAATGATCCTTTCTATTTTATTCAGCTATGTTCAATCGTATTCTTCATACTATCAAATAATATAAAATAATGTCAAGGAATTCTAAGCAAATCCTGTCTGCTAAATGAACTAGTGTAGCCCACAGCCATATGGCATAGCCAGATCAGGGCCTAACATAAGGACAACTCAGAGTATGCTATTCTGTTCTTCTGAAATAGACTACATTTTCTTCATATCATGTTTCTTTAGACCTGTCTAAAATAAATCATTTATAAACCAAATAAACCATTTATTGTGATGGTGTTGGCTATATTACATGCATTTATTATCCTTTTTTTAAATGTAGATGTTCCAAATTTCTGCATCAGTGGGTTGTAAGCTATGCTTGACAATCACCGGCTGACAAAATGTCATGACCACCATAGCCCTAGGCTGGAACAACCAATAGTCAACACAGCAGGTTGTCCTATCCCATTGAGGCCTTTGTCCTATGCTGTAATGTCCATACATTTTCCCTCCTCTTATTAATAAAGTTCTCAACATTAGGTCAGTGACACTGGAGGTTTTTTGGACAGTGATGTCCTTCTCCAGGCTATATGGACATAATATTGTAGAATTTGTCTCCCCTTTCACGGTCATGGCTAGAAGGGATCCAGCTTTTGTCAAATTAACTTCATATTTTTACTTTTGTAGCAGATTAGGAGAATTTATGCAGCAGGTTATTTGAATTAGGTTAAGGTTAGGAAAAGGGTTAGCTAAAAAGCTTTTTTTGTTTTGTTTTACTTTAATATGACAAAAACTATATACCTTCTAGCCATGACCCCTTTTCACAGGCTGAGATTATTTGGTTGCATTCAAAACAAGGTCGTTTTTATTGATCTTTTGTCAGCAGAGTAGGCCTAGGCTACCATTGTATTGAGAAAGATTCTGCTAACGTCTCCAGTCATACAGTGGATATAAAAAGTCTACACACCCCTGTTAAAATGCCAGGTTTTTGTGATGTAAAAGAATGAGACAAAGATAAATCATGTCAGAACTTTTTCCACCTTTAATGTGACCTATAACGTGAACAATTCAATTGAAAAACAAACTGAAATCTTTGAGGGGGGAAAATAAAAAACTCACAACAACCTGGTTGCATAAGTGTGCACACCCTTAAACTAATACTTTGTTAAAGCACCTTTTGATTTTATTACAGCACTCAGTCTTTTTGGGTAGGAGTCTATTAGCATGGCACATCTTGACGTGGCAATATTTGCCCAATCTTCTTTGCAAAAGCGCTCCAAATCTGTCAGATTGCAAGGACATCTCCTGTGCACAGCCTTCTTCAGATCACCCAAGAGATGTTCAATTGGATTCAGGTCTGCGCTCTGGCTGGGCCATTCCAAAACGTTAATCTTCTTCTGGTGAAGCCATGCTTTTGTGGATTTGGATGTGTGCTTTGGGTCGTTGTCGTGCTTCCTCTTCATCTCAAACTTTTAACCCGGGCCCCTGAAGGTTTTGGGCCAAAGGGGGGGGGGGAAA